TCAACAGTCATCCGTGGTGACTCCAGGGATCCTGAGGAGACGGCTATTAGCCTAATGAGCTCCCAGTTTGACCCTCCGTATGGTTTTTGGCTGGAGATTGACGGTCATGTTGATCCTCTCTCATGTTAGTCTTCTACTTCATGCGAGGTGCGGCCAACAGACACATATGTTTCTCTTACACAGAGGTGTGGAGTGCTGCACGCCATACTAAATAAATCATTCATCACGTCTGTCTGCACTCTGGGCTAGTCTGACAACAAAGCAAAAGCCAGGTGAGATTAGATCCAGCTGAGGGCAACTAGAAAGAGAGATCTAAAGGATGAAGCGGCTCCATGGCAAAACTTCACCAGGCACAGAGACAAATAGCTGCTGCAAAACAATGGTTGATAAAGTTTGTGTGCACTGTATTTGTGCACAGTTATTTTTGAAAACGGAGGTACACATATGAGCTTTGTCCCTGCTGTTTGCTGAAACTCACCATTTTTAGATTTCCCTGGGGTAAAGCTCGGGCCCACCATGGAGCTACATCAAAGCTGAAAATACATTGGCCCTGAACTACTCTCCCTCCAGGATCCAGCATGTTTTTTATGCTGTCGGTCACCACCATGGCCCATCGCTCGCACTCAGTCCCAGAGGAACTTGCAAAGACGTCAGCTGACATTTCTGCTTTTAGCATTTAGCAGGACATCAGTGACTTTACCGCTGGGTTTTTGGATGAGCTCTAAAGCGGGGTCATCCTGTCTACGCACGGCAAGAGGAGAGCTTCATCCTCTGCAATGTGTCTTTGCCAGTGGGTGTTGACCCCCGCGATGTAGAGTCCTGCTTTTGTGGAGGGGCCAGGCTGTGGATGGGCCCTCTGTGTTGTGTAAGCAAGAGATTAAAAGCTGTGCCTCAGCGGAGTGGAGTACAGACTAATTCCCTTCTACCCTGCATGCTGACACTGCTAACCAGTCAGAAAAGACCTGCTCCTGTTTTTACCAGCACGCCGTACCTCACACCACTCCTGTCACAACTGCTGCTCATAGTGTTGCAGACCCAGTGATAGTTTATCCACAGGTGACAACACATTTTACGAGTATTGACTTACGACAGCCAAACAGCGCTATTAAGGTCATGGCAGCATGTTTGTGTGTTTTATTCATCTGCCATATGTCACACTTCTGTCTACCACATGATTCCTGATAAACCAGCTCGACTGCCGAGACACTGAGTCACCAAAACGTCTGCAGCAGTGTCTTAAACTTACTTTTTGATTCACTGGCCAAGGGGGCTGGAAGATGAAAACAATCCCTCAGTACTTTTCACTGAGATAACAAGGCATAACATTGGATAGATTGCCGATTTTTCCGCATTGTGGGGAGTGTGTGCAGATGAACAGTGTTTTGCTTCCCCTCGTGCCGGCCGCACTAGGAGCTAGTGGCACAGGGGCACCTGAACACTGCTGGGCACCTTAAAACTGTTCATCTGCACACTTTCCCCACACCACAGTGGCACACACCTGGTTGTAAATCTGTAAAGTATACCTTTTAAAGAAGAGGGCAGCGCATAATTTGAAGTGAAGTTATTTGAAGGTAATAATTTCAAGCCTGAGTACAACTCGTGACTCAAAATTCTACTTAAGTATTTGCTATTAAATGTACAAAAGGATCAAACAGGAGATTACATTTGAAGGTTGTGTAAACCTAGTAGATGATATATCATTTTAATAAACATAAACCTCCTCATCAGACTTCTCAATCTCCGCGCGCTCGAGAAAGTCCGTTTCACGGTTCTGTTTAGACTTGCATAAAAACACATCTGTGTGTGTGTGTGTGTGTGTGTGTGTGTGTGTGTGTGTGTCAATCTCCAACACTGACGACAAAAGCAGCACGCCCATTAATGACACAAAACTTTTACATAGCTATTTTTGTATGGCTAATAGCCTTCTGAGATTTATTTACCAAATGAAAAATCCACCCTTATTTGGAGCTTGGCAGGTTTTAATTTTGGACCCTGCTTGAGTTTGTCTTTAAACCCGGGCTTTACCATTTTAGTTTATGTATTTATACTGGTTGATTCAGATGAAGTATTGCCACCGTAGCTTTGCATATCACCTCCTGAAGCTGGTTTTTGAGTCCTACAGTGCATCATAACTTCTTATCCACAGTGGTCTAGTGTGTAAATACTTGATCAGCCACTGTCTTCTACAGTAACGTCTGCTACTAAAGAATAACTGTGCACTTGTCTGACTTTAGATATATAGAAAAATACGAAATTACATGTGCTGTGGTAGACGATTTTATCCATATTGCCCACACCTAACCTCAGCCCTCCATGCAGTCGATTTGAAAATGTTGTGTGTGTAAATTCCAGCAAACCGGCCAGACTCCCAGGACACTTTCAGCCTCATTGCCTTGTATACATTTTTGCAGCTCGCCTTGGCATATTGCTTTTGAGCTGAAGGGCGTGTTTCTACATGCAGGAGGAATGGAGGAGAATGAGATCCAGCAGTGTTAAGATGGACAGGGAAAGACATGCAGCGTTGATGTAGCATAATGAGCTCTTAAGGAAATGCAGCCTGACTGAAACATTACAGGGTGTGTGCTGGTATTTCTTTGTGTGTTAGCATGCTGTGCACAGACTGTGTGATTTGTGGTATAGGTTGTGCCTGCTTAACACAAGAAAAAGCCCATATTCCATGCCGCGTCTCTGTCAAAACAAAGTCTTACTTAATACAACTGGACTTTTTGTTCTTCCTGCTGCACCCAGTGTGAAGAACATGGTCTCTAAATCAATTGATATTTAACAGATTTACCACTCTGCGCAATTGACTTTTCAGGGCAGGACCAAGGGTACGCTAATCAGTCATCCATCCATCACATTTCTCACAATTATTAACCAGGAGATGTTAGCTTAACTGACAGGTATACTGCGGCCAACCCTGAACCAACTGAAACTCTGTACAGTTTTACAGGTCTTGCATTGATCCACACCAGTGTGATTAAGGTGTGTTCGCTCTCAGTTTGCGTACGGTCTGGATAGCAGGAAGGACAGTGGGGTCCTGCCCAGCTCTGAGTTATTTGCACAGGTGTTGCAGAGTTGTCTTTTGTCTGTAACAATCAGGTGATTCACATGTGCTGATTAGCTAATGGGTTAGTGTATGACTGCTTTACGCAACCGCAGCGCTACAACCAACACAATACGCTCTCTTTGACACAGTCTTGTCAGTGCAGTGTTAATGTGTTTGCTCTGGCTTCAGTTGTCTGTTAGTCCTGTAATTTCATTTTACACATTCAAGAATTCATGATGTGCTGTTAGATTATTTGTCACAGTGTTTGCCTAATAAATCAAGACAGCCACAGTTGTATTACTGCTGTTAGAAAACAGAGCCTAAGCCAGAGATATGTGATGATGAGTTTGTCTCAAAGTAAAAAACCTCATGGCTGTTTTTCAGTAATATTATGCCTTGCCACGTATTGAAGGCTGCTTTATCGGTCTCTCTGACTGTCTGTTTGTCCTTTCACACAACCCTGCCTCCTAAATTCAGAAGGTCCCTTATGTAGCAACAGAAAAAGCAGTCACAACTCCAAGCACCCTCGTGTTTTCTGACTTTAAAAGTTGTCTCTCACACACAACTTGACTTCCTTTGTCCAACAAACTGGACACTTTCAGCCACAATATAGGCCTTCTGTGAACTGGACTTTGCAATTACATCAGCAGAGGGCTCGCTAAAGTCTAGTATCTCTCCATCTCATGTACTGTTATTACTTGTATGTGTGTGTGCGTGTGTAAGCGCTGACCTACATAAGTCTTATCTTACTCGTAGAGCTGCTTTGACTACTTGTGAACTACTTGGCCAGTGCACTCAGTCTTTCATCTGCGGTAAACTTCAAACGAGTGCTAATTTGGCGTTTTCTCAGAGACTGTCGAATATGCTCAGCAAGACTGGAGGTCTGGCCAGAGGGAGAGAAAGTTTGTAACTCATAGTAAAATAGATGACGCCAGAAATAAATCCTGATGGTGTAATTCAAAACAAATACAACATAAACTCTGGCTGCACCAAAGTTAGAGCTATAAATAAAAGAGGGAGAAGGAAGATTTAGAGTCAATCCCCAACGCTGCTTTATAACCAACGAGGCAGAAAACAAAATATGTTTGTTTCCTAGAGCAGAGCTATGAGATGGGGGGAGAGATTACTCTTTTACTATCAACAGATTGGGAGTATAAATGAGGAGGGCAATGGCAGATTGATGATTTTCCCAAATTAGTGGTTTCTTTCTTAAAAATAAAAGCTATCTATCACACTAAAAAATAGCTTAAATTAGCTTGTAGTCAGTTTTAGTTTTGGTGAATTCTGCAGCCAGTCAGGTGCAGCTTCAGTCTTATACATATATTACAGTAATTCCTATACATCCTAGACTTCATCACTTGTATTGCCTCCTACCTAAGCTGCCTGGCCAGTGCACTGGTGCATGTATGCCTTTAATAAAGCATGCCGATACATACACACTTTCCTCTTGCATTTTTCCAACATGCAAATATGGTGAATGCTTTGTAACAAGGGAAGGGAGGTAAAAGGGAAACGCATTAAAATGGAAATTGCATAAGTTTGTCAACCACCCGCAGGCAACAGTACTTGAAGGAGGGGGAATTTTGGCAAGTTCTGACTTGAGGCCTGAACAAACTGTGGAGATTTAATAGATTTTTTTCTTTAGGTTAAAAACCTGCCGTTCTGCCTCTGTGAACATGCTTTTGATTTTGTGTAAAGAATACTGTTGGCGCTACTGTTCTCCCCCTCACCTGTCTGAGACATAAGAGATAGAGGCAACAGTGTCATAGTTTTTTTAATTTAATTGTTAATAAATCAAACAAATATTACAATAATATATCACTACAGATTTAAAAATGCAATTTTTATAAATGATTTGGTAAACCATTTCTAAATGTGATAAATGAATACCTGAGTGTAGGAGTGTGTTTGCACCGTGACCCTTGACCCATGTCTGTCCTTCTTTCCTTAGCTGGACCTCAGCCAGCCTCTGGAGGAGCAGGGTCCTCTGGACGTCATCATCCACAAACTGACTGACCTCATCCTGGAGGCTGACCAGAATGATTCACAGGCTGTGCTGCTGGTGCAAAGAGTACAGGTATGTGTCTTTGTCTCCCCTTGTTTCCCCGGAGCATTTATAAGTGATGTGAAGAACACAAGTACAGAGGTCTGCAGAAGTGGGGCAGATTAAATTGGTAACTTCCTGTTTAGTAAAAACTTGTGGGTCGTAAACAATTTGAAAATAATGTGCAACTTGCCCAAACATTTATGCAATTCCACAGTTTAAACAAATAGATATGGGAATGTATAAAAAATGTCTTTAAAAGAGTTTCAAAATAATACTGCATGTCGTATCAAACCTTAATACTTGTTTGTCACTGGCCAACATGTGGCTGAAGTACCAAGTATCTAAAACTGTGAAGGAGTGAAAGCTGGCATGCAGTGTCTGGTCAGGTTTGTGAAATTACTTGCGTAGTCTTTGACCAGGCAGTTCCTGATTTAAAGGTTTACTATGAAGGATTGTCAGTGAGGGTAAAAGCCAACGCCGGATTCACTCTCATTTAGCATTTTGACTTGCTTTGTTTAATTTTATTTTATTTGTTCTTATTTTTTAATTTGTTTTTATTTATTTATTTATTTTTATTTTATTTTTTCAGTGCTGTCAATCTTGCATGCCTGCTGCTTATGGTCAGGCACCTACCTTTTTTTAAAGCCCCATCCTCACCTGAGCGCTATGGGGGCACACACCTATGAACATCCTGAACACAAAAAATAAAAAGAAAATAGGAAATTACAGGCAGAGGGCAGAGAGGGATTTCTTCTGTATTACTTTTTGCATAGTATGTCTTTAAATGATATTTTCCGACATTTTAGATTTAGACAGATCTCTTGTATGTCTGCTTGTGTTTCGACAACATTTAATGTCAATGAACTTTGGCTTTTTGTTAAATGAAGAAGAAAATTTTGTAACTAAACATGTTACGTATATGTATTATAACAAACATTTCAAATGATATGCACCCTTAATATCACACATAACATTTACATGATCCGTTGATCATAAGGCCCAGCCACTGTCAGCAGGCATGATATGGGACATTAGCTAAGCGTTCATATACAGTTGAAATGAAGAAAGAAATGTAAAGTAGCACAGCAGCTCTACTTCAGTCAATAAACTTTTATGGACGTCAGGATTTTATGTTTACATATATACGCTCCAGTTCAAGGCATCAAGCAAAGAGCCTTAACTTATCTCCAGGAACATAAAGGACATCAGCAGCTATATGGTGACTCATAAATGCTTCAAGTGAAAGTTCTTAAAGAGTTTCTCTTGTTCTTCCTGAAGTGAGAGAAATCTCACATGGACAGCAGGTCACAGCTCCAAATGTGGCACCGTGAACACACTTCAAAAAACTGGCGTGTGTGTGTACGTGCGTGCGTGTGTGTACAGTAATCCAGCAGTGTTATAGATGATGTGAAAATTAATTTTGTTCCACCAGCTCTCACTGTGACTCTGTCTCTCTCTGAATGACTCAGAGGATCTGTAATCATGATCAACGTCACGCAGTTCTGTCAGCGTGTTCCTGACTGCTCAATTAGGAAAGACAAACAGGAAGTTGGTGTGGAGCAATCACTTATACAGCAGAACCTGGTCAATATATCAACACATGGCTGCATTTGCACACTTTAGTGGTGCTCTGGACATTTTGTAACAAATGCACACACCTAGTTTTTTTTTTTTGTTTTGTAAAGAACCATTTGCCACAAAAGTGCCCTAGATAGCCAGAATGACCATATTTGGGAAGATACGCATTGCTACTCCTCTACCCAGCATTGTTGTGGATCTCACTGCATCTCTTGGCAAGTCCTGCCCTCCTGTGCTATGATTGACTAGTGCTAGACCAGTTTTAGGAGGAATAATTATTTGCACATCACATAGGTGCAAGGCTAAAAAAACAAACAAAAAACAGCGCATACTGAAGAAAGAGGTAACTCCTGCACATTTACTCCATGCCACAAATCCTACTTGGCTCTTCATCAGGTCAAAGTGTTAGAAACGTTTAAACTACAACTGCATTTATACACAATGCACACCAATAGGCTGATGAGCTCTAGGATGGCATGTGTGGTTAACCATTTTGAGCTACTCCGAGTGGTATTGACAATAAACATTTCAAGAAAATACATAGGGAAAAAAATGCAGGCCATACTACAAAATGTTAAACATATAGCATAATTAATAAAGTGATATATTAAAATGCATCATCCCATCCCATTAAGTAAGAGGCAAAACACAAAAAATGTCAAATACAGGCACAGAAACTGGGTCTAAAACACTTCCCTAAAATATAGCCAGATCAAATTCCTATGAAGGAAAATATATGTAATATAAATATATGTCCATGTATATATATCCATACATGGATATGTACAGGGGCAGCCATTTTGGCCTGACGAAGATCCAAGACCCATGAACCTCTTTGCTCTAACCCTAACTGCCTCCAACTTTGATGTGTTAATGTGACGAGTACGAGCCAACACAGCTTTACAGCGCTATTTGGGGGGGCAACGTTAAGTCACGTGACTGCAGTGTAGTTTATGTATGACCAAACATTAGCTTTTCACTTCTGGCGATTGCATTTAGGCTTCAAAGATCATCAAATTGAAGTTGAATTGTGAAGATTATCTTGCTGAGCAAATTGCATACGTATCATAGAGCTTATTTTCTGCAATAACCCCAAATCCCATAGGCTTTTTGATGAAGGAACCAGGGCAACGCTAACTTCCACATCGGCCCACAGAGAAGCATCATCCCTGGAGCCTCACCTAACGCAAGCACACATGGAGACACACAGAAACAAAGACATGCTGTTACAGTTATTTGATAAAACATTTTGATAATAGATTAATCATTTGAGTCATTTCTAAATTGAAAAGGCGGAACATTTGTTGTTCATTGACAGTGCTCTCTTATTTGACCTCTAAATCTCTGTTATTCCAACAATTTTCTCAACCAGCTCACTAATTACAGGGTAGCATAGACCTCCTTTCTTCGCAGCTATGCCTGTAAACGGGATCCTCAAGGACCCAGTGTGTCCTGATCCTAACTAAGGGTCTCCAGCCTGCTGTGAACATTGTACCTCGAAAGGATGGCACCCTCTAAGCATTAATACCAAGTACCCAACTGTCGGGGCAGGCTTTTCTCGGTGCAGAGAAACAGTGGTTTTAGTCCAACAGTTCACTCCTGGTACGAAGGTTGTGACTGGAGATGAAGGTTGGATCGAGAATTAGCTGGTAAGTCAACAGCTCAGCGTTGCGGCTCAGTCCTGTCTGTGCCTCTTCAGTTCTGGCTATTTACCTGAACATAGTTGTCATGTGTGATTACATTTACTTGAGATATAAGCACTGGCGCATTTCTACCATGACACATCTGTGATCATAAATAACCTTTTGTGTGGTGGAGGGAAAAAGCCTTCCTCTCTAAAATACCTCTTTATTTAAAACAAAATGTCAGGCCGTGATGTGCTCGGGTGATTCAGTGGCCTGAGGTGTGAGCCGTGTGCACAGCGGACCTGGGACAAATATTATTAGCATGATTTTGGAGCTGTAGATCGTTATAGTAATCTGTGTAGGAGGCTGGTTTGAGGAACTATTAGTTTGCTGACCTTTGAATCTTTTATTAGCGTCTTTGGCCGTGTTAGCAATCTAATGGTTACATTTGGAAAGCAAAGTTGCATTTATAAGCAGTTATTGATATTTATTAAGACTTGTGGATTTTTTTTTTTTTATCTTGCTGCCATACAGGTGATACAAACATAATTAAAAGCTTTGTATACAACATCCAAAGCATTCATAAAGCACCAAACAACTATTTGCTATTTAAAGATATAGTGGAGTAATGGCATACTGACCAGAAGTCACATTTATTCTGTGCGCACTCATACGGTTGTTACCGCTGATACTGGGATGGAACCTTGGTTAACACTGTTAGCTCTGCTGACACTGTTAGCACTGTTCGGTGCTAGCTAGTCCAAGTTTAAGCATCTGTTTAAATGTCAGGAAAATTAGTCATTGGGAGCATCCCTAGTGCAGACAACCTAAATTAGATTCAGACCATAGATGCACTCTGAATGTGGTGTACAGCCCCTTTAAGTTTCTAGTCTAGTGTGCTTCTCTGTGATCCAGCACTTAGGTCACTCAAGCTGACAAAGTTGTGATTCTTTTAAGTGATAAAAAAAATACGTCCCACTACAGGTTTGATGCCTGTGGCATCACAGACATGGCTTTCAACCAGTAGCACAGATTCGATCCTCCACTAACCATATTCTGTGAGATTTTGAACAGTCTTTTTTCCCTATGGAAACAGATCTGCCCGTAAAAACGAACAGAAAATGTGCAGCCTTCATGCCCACTCGCTTACACCCACACCGACATACGTCTGGCTCTTTTCCTCTCTAACACCTGCTAGCCGGCGCTCATCTCCATCTCACCTCCCCCTCTTGTCTGTGTTTGAATGCGATTCTTCTTCTGAGATGCAGAACTCAGCAAATGACAGTCCTTATCAGCAGAGTATTCCTCTGAACTCCTGGAAGATTAGTTTGGATTTATTTTTCGGCAGAAGCCTGTTTGACTTACATAACCGCTCAACTGGCTTTGATCAGCATTGCCCGTTAGAGTCTAGCAAATCCTACAGATGGGTCCTCCATGTCAAAGCAAAGGCATTTGTTTACATGCTGCCTGCGTCAGTGTGTGTATGTATCATGAGAGCCACTTCACAAATGACATTTTTTTTTCAACACTGTACGTGTGTGGTTGATGTCTGACACTGTCGCGTGTGTTTAATTTCATGCTTACGTGTATGACAGCGGGGCTGGGGTGTTTTTCAAAGGACTGTGATGTGAGCGGCAGGCTGTTTGTGTAATGTGCAGGCCAGCCAGCTCCACCTGACAGCGTTTGTGAATCAGTAAAAATTGCTCAGAAGGGATGGTTGGCAGTGAAATCCACAGAGCAGAGATAGAAATGTGGAGAGCATGTAGAGCTGCAAAGTGGAAAGGAGGTGGTGCGGGGACAGAGCCAGAGGAGAGCCGACGAGAGAAGCAAAGGGGAGTGCAGTTATGTAAAATAGCAAATCTCACGCTGACCTAACAGCCGGCCATGCAGAGATGTAGTGATGTAACCTGCGCAGACCCGCTGGCATACATCTCACGCTGTCTCTGGCTCTCACACATATACAGAGTGAGGCATGGTGACCCTTCAACTCAGTGTTTGTATTTGTAGTTTGCCTACTTCAATATGTTTGTCTAACAATCCTAATCTGTACGGATGTATTTGTGTGCATGTCATGTGTCATGACAGATGGTTGATTGTGGTGTGAAACCTCCATATGCTGATGTGCAGCCCCCCCCCCCCCCCCCCCCCCATGTTTGCACACTGTTTCTTACAGTAACACACCCTCATTCACATTTCTTTATTGATTAAAATGGATGCACCCATTGTGAAATTCTGGATCGATCTTTGAAAATAACAATTTAGCTGATAGTCGATACATATGTTTTTGTGTTGTTGTTTTTGTTGTTTTAAAGTCATTTATCTCTTCATTACAATATCTTTGAAAGAGCACAAATTCAATCATGCACATTTATTTAACAACCTTTAATATAATGTGTTTATCCAAGTTTCCTGCCAAAAACTAAATGTTGATAATGTTATAATTTCAGTTTCAGCACCAGTTGTTAACAGCTAATGTTAACTAGCTCTCCTCCTCCTGCAGATTTTAACACAGATTGTTCACAACATGGCATGATCAGAGAAAAATAGTGTTCCCTGATGTGCCCATAGTGAATTTACTGAGTCCTTTAACCCCAAATGCATCCTGGGGAATTTTTTTTTTCTTTTTCATCCCAAACACGTCTTTTGTCCACTGGGCTATGAGACAGTTAGTTTTGAGGCCTGCTTTTTAGTCTCTGCAAAACTAGCATGAAACAACAGAAAAACATCAGCGGCTGCCATTGGTAAATGTCATCCTATTTGGCGATAGGCTAATGGCAGCAAAAAGGCAAATATCAGCTGACAAGGATGTTTGGCTGATAAATCGGTGCATCCCTATGATTTATCTGTCACTTATTTTCTCACCAATTGAAATCAATAAATGTGTCGAGTCTGAACAGTTTAAGAAAATAGAGAAAAATGCCCTGAGCTCAAAGAAACCTCTTCAGCAGTAGCAGTTTTCCAAGAGAAGTGCCTTTAACAATTAATTATCAGAATTTGATGACAATTAATTTTCTGTTAATGGGTAAATCGTTGATTAAGTAATTGTCTCAGTGATAGACACACACTTGTAGCTTCTAGTGTTGCAGAAAAAAAATAAAAAGGATTTATGAAAAATGCGTCCAGTCACCACAATCTGAGGAGATGCTACTTACACCTTGTAGGATGGGTAGCGTGTCACAATCATGTCCGGTTTGGAAAGACTTTAATGTTGTTTAATACTTCTTTTTTTGTTTGTTTGTTTGTTTGTTTGTTTTTTTAAAGGACATAAAATGTTGTTAAAATGTTTGCATCTCTGTGTTCCAGGATTACATCGATGCCCACCCTGAGACCATCGTCCTGGACCCCCTTCCAGCCATCCGTACTCTGCTGGATCGCTGCAAGTCCTACCAGCTCATCCACAGGCTAGAGAGCTGTATGCAAGGTAAGATGTTTCATGTAACTTGGTGATACTTGTGCACATCAGGCTTCCTCTGCCTGGCTCTCAATAACCGTCTTAACGTACTGTCCGCTTAATGACAGGCGGCACAAGTAGTCACTACATCAGTATGCCTTCAGCACCATTTGTTTCAGAAGAAATGCAGATTAACACACAGTTTATGTACACATATCTTAAACTAATGCAGACTAATACACAAGCCCATGAAGTTTATAATGTTAGAGAGGTGCTGACTCAGTTTTTATTGTCATTTTGGTAGCTACACCTTTTAGTGCTGTTGAATTATAACAGCGTGACACTTGAAGCACTACAAACTGTAGCCTCCAAAATGTCCTCAAAGCTAAATCAGTCCCAAAATCAACAAAAACTAAATGTTCAAAATGAATTAAAGTAAAATGAACAGCTGGACTGTTGTATCAGACTACATTTGTTTCAGCTAGGTGTACCTAATTAACTGGGAACTGAGTGGTTTTATGCTGTGTCATTTCACCGTGTGACCAGGCTCTTACTCTGTGTGTTGAGTCAATACACAACGTGTCACGGGGTCAAATTAAACAAACACCGTTAATGTCTCTGTTCCTCTCTGAGTCCTCATTATTACATAAAAGCAGAAGTTGTTTAAAATAACAAAGGAACTGTTGATTCCATGGACGCTGCTTTCTTCCTTATGCAACATGTCAAATGTTATTAAAAGGAGTCGTGGTGACTGTGGGTTCTCTGTCTTTCCTCTACACTTCTAGAGGGGGATACATGGATAACATGTGACGGCCCAGTCGCCTCTCACTGACTAATGTTACTCCACGCTTCCGAGCAGATGTTTAATGCTTGCCGGCAGGGTGCTAGGCTGATATCGTAGTTCTCTCTCCTCTCTTTCATTCGACACAGCACCTCTCCATTTCCTCCGCCTGAACCCATTTGGCTCTGTGTAGGTTTCTCACTGATGGATCCTTGCGTCCCGAGTCAGCCCGACACCTTCCCCTGTCACTGAGACCTTAAACTAATCAGCTGGAGACATATTTTGGCTGTAGGCAGACGGCAAGAGCGCATTCCCTACCCACTCACACTGTAAACACACCTGTGACTCTTCCACACTTCCTCTAACCCCATACATGGCAGGGAATGTAAACCTTTTAAGTATTACTTCACTGATCGTCTATGACTCCACAAGGGGCCGCAGTGTGGTGTCAGAGCAGAGGCGTTTCAGCATGTCGGCAATGTCATTAGTGTCTTAAAATAGAACCGCAAGAAGACGTCTTTTTATCCAAACAGACATGATGGCTGTTATGCAACAGAGTATAAGCTGCATCGCACTGTCTTACTGTTTCTATTAGGTTTAAAGAGGAAGATGGCTCACTGGCTGCATTTACATGCTTTTCCTTTCCTTTTTTTATTTACTCCTTCCATTAATGCAAGTGGTGTTCTCTGCTCACACTTAGGCCTGCATACCAAACTTCCCTGACAATTGTGGTTGGTTTAGACACAAACAAGGAGTGTAAGCCATTATAATCCCACACCACACCACTGTGATTGTAGGAAAAACAGCATGTGACAGAGAGTACTTTCTTCAGTCAGAGAAAAAAGGGTGACTGACTGGGAGAACTGGGTTAAGGTTAGAGAAAAAGCGGGATAGTGTGAGAGCATGGAGAGTCTACCTTGCTTTCTTAGGCACAGCCACTTCCTCCTCCTTATCAGCAGAGGCCATGGAGTCCTGGAGCAGCTGCCAAGGCAACCCTGTGCTAAAAGGCCACAGAGAGCCTGCCATGCTTCACAGTGTGCATTACTCAGAATAGTGCTCAATAGGAGGAAGCACTCGAGGTGCGTTAGTGCTTTCTCTGGAAACCTTATTTTATCACTTGAGTGGTCTCTCCATGTTAAATAGCCCCAGTCACAGTACATTTAGCTGTTATGCTCTGAATTGTTTAAATTGATATAAACATAAGTACAAGAATGATCTCAACTTAATGATATGTTTAATAGAAAGTAGCCAGACAGGGGCCACACGAGCGCTAATGGATCAGTGTCACTGATTCATAGTTGTGCTTATTGAAATTTTGGCGCTGCTTTGTTTCGGTTTTGTGTTTCCTATGTGAGCCAGAGCAAGGTAACTGTTTATGTTACTTAGTGGAATCCGCTGGTTCCTGTGTATGTTTGAGTTTTGATATCGTGGACTGTTTTTATAGACGGAAACCGTCGTCAAGTCAACTCTTCTATAAAACAAATCCTCTCCCAGTGTTTTAAGCTTATTCCTCTCCAGCTCAGGATAAAAGAATTCTCCCTGAATACAAGCAGATTCCTCGGGATCAAACTGAAACCTGTCTGGGTTTATTCGTATATTAGTCAGACTGTCTTGAGGTCCCTGTGCAAGCATTAATCCACGCCTCTGCTTGGACCAACAGAACAAGTGTCCCGTTTATGCAAGTGATCAATATTTAATCATAGTTGTAGCATGAGAAAGACAAACAGTGAGACACAACCCAAACACTCATCTCAGCCCAATGAGCCGAGCGGGCAGCCAGGATTGCCCAACTAGAGTAAAAGCCTGTCCGGTACATGATGGCGCTTTGTCCCAATTGTTAAATGATGAATATCTCATCAAAGCAGGATTCACCCATCTAATTTTTCCCTTTCAAAATAAATGACTCATAATTTTTATTGGAGCGTAAGCCTCTTAGAGCGTGATATTGAGAATTGCATTTCTCTCGGAGCTGTGTTTGGAGTTCAATTTAAAATATTGAAAATCCTGCAGCTTTGCCTCAGGAGGGGGATGCAGAGAGAGCAGCGAGAGAGGATGCTGGGGTTTCTAGGAAACAAGCTCTAAATAGCAACAGGCAAGTTCAGCGTTCCACCTAAACAGCTCCACACTTTATGAAGCTTAATGTAACTTGGCTCTCTGTCGTTCTCTGCATGTAATGCCTCAAACCAGACGGATCATATCGTCTGAATCTTAGGTGTTAAAGCAGGAATTTCTTCTCTGTTCATTCTCAGAAACACCAGTCGTTGCGTATAAGTTTGGAGTTTATTTATTTGCATGCATGAATATGATGTAACCGAGCGGACAGTTGGGGGGGGGGTTGCAGCGGATGTCCCGATGAGATAAAAGAAGAAGAGCAACAAAAAAAGCAGTGTAACTGGATAATGACATTTAAAAAGCATCTCCCGTAAACGTCGTCCTCGGCTCCACAGGGTCTGCTGTGAGCATGCAGTGTTTAGACAGAGCCAGAGATTGATCCTCCCCACCACCCCCTCCACCCCCCCTTATCCCTAAAGCGTCGACCAGAGCCAAGCATGCACGCTATTACAAACTTGGCCACACGCTCTTATCCACCATTCCTTGCTCTCTTTATTATAAATCTTGAAGTTGGAGCTTGCAATGTTTTCCGTTTGACAAGGTTTATATTCTTTTGATGGTTTTTTGTTTAACAAAATTTAGCGCCATCCGTCTTTGGGAACTCGGTGATGTAATGGGGATATTTTCCCCACCAGGCTTGTTTTCTGATGCAGCTATTCCTGTCCTGGTAAAATAACAGCAGTCCGATAAACGTGGCTGTGGCCAGTACACAGATGACTGATGGGTTACCCTCCAGGCTTCCTGCTCCAAAGAAGTGACTGGTTGCTGAGCCAACTCTAGAAGAGACCCAGCTGTACATGGAAAGGTTATAGTGCACAGAACAAGTATCTGCCTGTGAGAGAGAATAGGAGAATTGTGTTGTTCGTCCGTCATGTAACAGCAAAAAAAAGTGAAGCATTTAAACCATGCTAGATCAGATTGTGATGCTGATTTATTTTTTGGAGTGAAAATAAAAGTGTTCTTATTAGGAAATTAGTTCTGTACATGGTGGTCAAAGCACATGCTCGACTGCAGCGGAGCAATTAGCTGATGAGCACAACAACAAGGAGGTGGATTCTTGAAGGGTTGTTCCAGGTTATTTCTGTAGCTGTGTTCATCATTTCTATCAGTTGTGATAATATTTTACTCACCAAAGTCATTGACGAGATATCAAAACCTGCAAAATTGCTAGAATAAAAGTCGGACAGCTTCTAAACAAGCCACAGTCGAGCCAGATTATTTTAGACCAAAAAGATTGTACCTGAAATATCAGTAATAATCCTTCATCCATCTGATCCTGGATGTCGATCTGCAAACTTTGACACATGTTTGTGCAGTGGTTAGCACTGTTGCCTCACAGCAAGAGGGTTCCTGGTTTGACCCTAGTGCAGAGTTTGCATGTTCTCCCTGTGTCAGCGTGGGTTTTCTCCAAGTACTCCAGCTTCCTCCCACAGTCCAAAGACATGCAGGTTAATTGGTGACTCTAACTTGCCTGAGGTGTGGATGTGAGTGTGAATGATTGTCTGTTTCTATGTGTCAGCCCTGTGATAGTCTGGTGACCTGTTCCAGAGTGTACCCTGCCTCTCGCCCAATGTCAGCTGGGATAGGCTCCAGCCCCCATGACCCCCAACAGGATAAGTGGTTACAGAAAATGAATAAAGAGTTGCTGTGTAGTAGTATTATGGCAATACTGGAATTTCTACCTTAATTACAATACGTTGAAAAGTAACCTTAAACAAAAACCATGTTCAGAACCACGTGACGTCTTTTCTTTTCCTCATTAGTAGCAGAGAACAGCAGAATGACTGTAGTAGACATTAACAATAAGAGAGACACCTCTGTGTGTGTTGAAATCCACTAGCTTATTGCCGCAGCTCTACACTGTTCATACAGTAGTTCCTGCTGGTACTGGGATGGCGGCATCACAAAAGCGTAGCACCCACCTTCAGGTTCCCTCCTGGTTACCATCCTTAGCTCTGTCAGCACTGTTGCTGTTGTTAAGTGCTGTTTAAGGAGTTAGCGTTGTTAGCTGCTAGCTGCCGGCTCAGCCACATCCATGGTGACATATGTGTCCAGACACGCTCTAAATTTTGCATAGAGCCTCTTTAATGATATCTTCCAAGTCATTACACCATTGTGCAACCCTGTTACATAACTCTGGTCTACTGTATAAGCTTCCTCATGAGCTCCTGGAACCTGCTCTACAGCTTGATGTCACCAAAGAAGTTTCTCTGATAACCTTTGGGGCTTTTGAAAATCTCATGTTGCCTCATGCATCAGCTTTAATTGTGGGGTTTCCCAAAAGTTTCTGTGTGTGTCTGCACTATCTGGCTTCTGTGGGCGCTGTAGATGTCTGTGGGGCCCAGTGCACACCCAGAGTTCAACACTCAACACTGGAGTTAATGTAGGCAAATGAGATTCTCCTGACCTCAGCACTAGCGAGAGCAGAGAGCCCTGCCACTGCTGAGGCCCACAGCTCACAAAGGCCGGCGTGTTTCTATTGTGTTTTTGTCATTAGCAATTTGCCAGCTCTTGGTTTGGCCCCCCTCGCTGATTTCCTGTGGTGATATCTCCAACCAGCTGCTTTATCACCCCCCTGTACCTAATGTAGAGGGGAAATTACAGAAGGCAGAACTTTAATATAGATGCATCCTGAGCCCTGATATGGTGAAGTATGACGGAGCTGCAGGATGTTTGTTATTTTCAGTCTTATCGGAACTGACCGACTTGCAGCTCCAGGATGTGATGTAAAAATATGATGTAAACAAACATGATGTGATGTAAAAACACGGTGGAGATGGATTAGAAGGAGGCTGGCTGTTTTTCCTGGCCTCAGTTGTAATTAATTAAGGTACGGCTGAGGTTGTATAGTCTAACTGCCCCTGCTTTGTTTGCCGTTTGGGTGCCTTGTGAGCTATCAATCACGTCCATCAGTCAGGTGATGTATGTGATGACTCTGTAATGTCCTCAGCTGGTTTGACCTGTCTATAGTCCCTCTTGAGATTATGTGTCTTCCTGTATTTCAGCATTTTCCTCTGTGTGTGTGTGTGTGTGTGTGTGTGTGTGTGTGTGTTGTTTGGGAGGAGCAGAAGGGCCTGGCAGCTTTCTGCTTTATTTATTTGAACAGGAGTCATCTTCCCCCCCGGGTCTCAGATGGCCTCTGCTGAGTTTGTTGTCTAAACCTGTCTTAAGGATGACATATAAATATAATCTTTTTAGGCCAAATTAAATAAGGTGTGTCTGCATATGGGAGAGACTCATCTGCTGCCTGTGTGGAACAGGTGTTGAGCATTTTCACTCTGACTACAGTCGGATGTGCTGCCCCTAATCTTTTTCTAAGTAGGCTATGGATGATAGCAGAACGAATAGCCTCAAGTGCTGCTAATTCAGGGAAGAAAACTTTTAAAAGTTCGACATATCACTTCGGCTATCATCATTACTATGAGACAGTATGCAGGAACATTAATCATCATCTAGTAAAGCTGTTCACCAGAGAGTGATGACTGACAATAACCTGATTCTTAATGTTAGACTAAAACAAGATTTATTTCAAAGAACAACAGTGATAACTTTGCCAAATCAGTAACTGCATATTTTGTATGTAGGGATGGGAATTGATAAGATTTTATTGATAGCAATGCTGTTATCAGTTTTGCTTATCAGTCCGATTCTTCATTGATTGCCTTTTTGATTCCTGAGTAGTTGTCTGTGTGGAAAAAAAGTAGGCCTACACAGGCTTTCAGTGTCAACACAACTTTTTTGTTAGCTCTGAGTGTGAACACAGGGTAATGAGATGAAATACGAGAATATTTGTACAGCTTACATTTTCATTGAGGTTTTCTTAGTCAAAGTCAAAAACCTGCTAAGCCTCCCTCTCTCTGCTTGGTGTTATTGTTGTTATAACGCAGGATATTTACCCTTGGTACAGATGTGCTGCTCGGCTGGGAAGCAGTTGTACTTGTGTGTAGAGTGTCATATAAATGGCAATACTGGAAGATGAGAGAAATGTTTCAGAATATTGCCGTTCTTTCCACCGTTAATTGAGATGATCATTAGTAGCACTGTTATCGTCTTTCATCAAGAAATGCAGCCACACTTTGGACCGTTTCTTCCTCTTCACCATGACTCCATGTTGCAAGGTTCCAGTAGTGTAGGTAAATTAATTTGACGACATTGTTTTGTAATGAATAACTGACAGAAATGCATGAAGGAAGTGACAAAAGGAATCTGATAGACAGGACAATTAGGAACCAGTTCTCCTTATTTTTATGTATGGATCATAGTACAGGTTATGACCTTCCTTTTTCATGTCCACTAATGTAATTGTAATTATAAGTGTACATATGAATTAGCTGACTAACAGAAAATTGATCGATGACAATGATTTACTATATTTTATGTACAGAAATTGAATATTTTTAGGTTTTAGACTGTTGGTTGAGCAAAACAAGCAACTGGAAGATGTCACCTTTCGGCTCCGTGAGCCTCTCTTTATTTTATATACCAGGCAATTAGTTGATTTTAAAAATAATCAACAGAGTAGTTAATAAAGAAAATAAACACTGGTTGCAACCCTTGTGTTAGTCTTTCTCTTTCTAAAAGCTCACAAGCTAATATCTGACATTTATCCCAGTCATCATTTCTGGAAAACTGAAAATTTCCAGGACCTTTGGAGTTCAATTTTGTCAACCCTCTTTTACTTCTCTTTTTATTAGATGAGAGAATTTGCTCTCCTCCATTCATGGTCCTGAACTCGGAGTGCAGCCCAGATGTGCTGGAGCAGATCAAGAGGCAAGGACTCACATTCCCCTTCAGTAAGTGTCTTTTTAATACCTTAATATCCTCTAGATATTGAGGACTTAAATCTATACTCCATTTACTTTATTTGAACTTAACATTGTACTTTGAAATTTTGTCGCATAAACTAATTTCCTGTCTCACATTTCTACGTTCATGGTCAAAGTGTAAGGCCTTAATGTGAGACGTTTTATTCTCCTGCTGAAATGTCATTCCTGCTCCACAATATTTCACTAAGTGAGGTTACCGTGCTAAGTCATCTGTGTTTCCTTGCCCTTCTTTCTCCCTCAGTTTGCAAAACACGGGTGGCTCATGGAACCAACTCCCACGAGGTAAGAGGCCACAGGGCTCAGAGGTCACTCACGCCCTGCACAGTTTGCTTTGTGAGAGCAGTAACACTTGTCCTGTCACAGGACTGTCATTTAACTCAAGTCCAAACAACAGAATCAGATAAAGTGCTGTACCTCTTGTATCTTTGCGTGTCAGCTGAAATCAATACCCCTGTCAGGCTGACCAAATAGCCTTCATTCCTCCACAGCATGGACGTTAATTATTAACTATTTCACTGTTAATCAACATTAAGAATTTTGAGTGATTGATGTTATCAGTTAAACAATTAAAGTATATAGATTAAATATAATATAATGACGCTACTGGGGGAGATGAGACAGCAGACTTGAGTCGTATGCCACAGCCAGGGCAATGCCAACATGTTGCTCCTGTGAGACGACTACAGCGCCCCTCAACTTGCCAATGACTATAGGTAGAGGTGGACACCTACGTGAGAGCCAATTCCCCACTCATTATATACTGACGATTATCCTCTTTACTGGTGGAAAGGAGCAGCAAACTTTCGGTTGCTGCTGTTACACAGAACAGTCAGTTTAGTGTCTGCCTGGTTAGCATGAGCTTACGCAGCAGCAGCTAACATCCAAAACCGAGCCGTTAAACAGTCCTAACAAACTCACACTGACACTGATACAGCTGGACTCTGTGTTTAAACCTGTTGGGTAATGTTGGCTTTGTGATACCATTAACCCCGTCACCACATGATTCTCTATGTCCATGGCACGCAGCTCACCTTCCTGCAGTAATAGTTTTGTGATAAACAGAGATAAAGAGAGAGACAGCGGGGCAAGGAGGTGCTGAGCGAAGCAGTACGCTACATGCAGGTCTGCAATGAAATAAGATTTTACCCACTGTAAACCCCACCCTACTCCCAACTTGTTGGTTTGTGGTTAATGATCGGTTAACGAGGGTCGGCTATCAGTCACGAAAAAGACTCTAAATTAGCATTCCTACTCCACACTCACTGCATTCACTAAAGTTAGGATTTAAGTAGTGTTGTTGGTTTGAACAGCCATTTTGGTTGATTTTTTTTTTTTTATGTGTAGGCATGTCATTTACTGTGTGTCCTCCTGTCCACAGATGGCCATTATCTTCAGTGAAGAGGACCTGAATGACGTGAAGCCTCCCTGTGTGATCCAGAGCTTCATCAACCACAACGCAGTGCTCTACAAGGTGTTCGTGGTGGGAGACTCCTACACTGTGGTGGAGAGACCTTCACTGAAGAACTTCCCCGCTGGGCCGGCAGGTGAGGAGACAGACAGACAGGCAGAGGGGTCAGAGAGAGACAGGCGGGGAAGTCCAAGGGCTGCTAACAGCCACACTGGCCACACTGTATAAGTTGCATGGCTTTTCCAAATAAGCCAATAAAAGGGCTCATAAAATGGCTTTATAGTCCCTGTGATTGGACCCATTCACCCTTTTAAGGGATGCAGCAGAGTGCAATTCAGTTTCACCCTGTTGGTACATGCTGTTAAAAACAAACAAGAGCAGTGGTGTTTTTCTCCATAAACATGACAGAAGCCTTACCCATGATGCAACTTTGAATACAGGGTTGTCCCCTGGCACAGATGACTCCAGTATTTGCATGCAGATACAGTAGAGGCCCTCATGCAAAGCAGTGTCACCATCAGCGTAGTAGTCTGCTTTGTGTAACGGTGCACAGAGAACAGTTGCTTTCAGCCTGGAATGCTGAGTGGTGCGGCAGGAAAGCACGACCCTTGTCAAACACATAAAGCAACATAGCACAGTGTTACATCTGCACAGCGTTTAGATCGCTGCGCTCTGCAGCCTGGAGCTATGCATCGCGTTTTGTGAGTGGAGGGAAACGCCGGATGAAAGAGTGAGGTATGAAGATAAAGAGAGGTAGGGGTTAGTGCTCGGAAAGAACTTAAAAATAACTGCGTGAGAGATGTTCTGTCCCATCCAGTCTTCCTCCTCATGCTTCTGTCGACTTAAACTGGTGCTTGCTCGTCCAGTCTGGGAATGGACAAGCCCATCTGCCTAACACTTCATTACCATGACCCTCTACAAGCCGAGGGGCATATTTATTTGGACAGTATGGAATTTACTTTTCCCCCCTCCACTCCCCGCCCCTCTTCTCTCCCTCCAGCACGCTCTAATGTTAATCATTACAACGATAACAACGAAATAAGTGGCCAATAAATTCTAAAGTTCATCCCATCACATTAATCTCTGCTTCAAAGGAAATCCTTCGCCTGAGGCAAACGCCTTACGTGCAGTTTTGTTCATACATGAACACCCAACATGACATGGTTATGACTAAGAGGGTTAAAGATTAAAAGGCTTCACACTGAGACAGTTTCTGTTTCTTTACAGCAGGTGTTGAAATCCGCAAGACATTAATTTAGTAAAGCTCTGATTTCCTTATTACATGTGTAACCACTTAAGTTTTGCTGCCACCTACTGCCAGAGATGAGAAGTGTATATAGATGACCACACAGGGAAAGGATGTCAAAGTGCAGTCAAAGATCTTTAAAATTCAACCTCACCTGTTCTTGTTTCTTTTTCAGACAGGAAAGCAATCTTCTTCAACAGCCACAATGTTTCCAAACCAGAGTCATCCTCAGACTTGACCACGGTACGTCCACAACATCATCAACGGTTACTTCCATGTGGTTCCTTTCTTTTGTTTTTTTTTTTAACATTTTGTTGTTAATGTTTATCTCAGAGAGAGAACGTAGAGGGAGTGTCTCAGCCACCCAGTGACGATGTCATCCGAGAGCTGTCCAGGTCATTGCGGCAGGCGCTGGGCGTGTCCCTGTTTGGCATTGACGTCATCATCAACAACCAAACAGGCCAACATGCCGTTATTGACATCAATGCATTCCCTGGTAGGTGCATTCTTCCATCCACAGGGGCCCCTGGTTGTCTGTGATTTGATTATCTTGTTCATTTTTATGCTGAGCAAAAATTTGAATGCAGCGCTTTTGTTTTTGCTCCCATTTTTCACAGGTTTAAGTTAAAGATCTAAGATTGTATTGTGTACGCAATAGATACATTTCTTTCACACTCTGATTGCAAATTTGTTAATATCAGCAGTACTGAGCACTTCTCCTTTTCCAAGATAATCCATCCACCTGACGGGTGTGGAATATTAAGATGCTGAGTAAACAGCATCATCACTACCCGTGTGCCTTGAGCTGGTTATAACAAAATGCCACTCTAAAATGTGCAGTTTTATCACACTACTTAATGCTACAGATGTCACAAGTTTTGAGGGAGCGTGCCATTGGCGCCAGAGACGTTGCAAGTGCAAGTGAATGTTCATTTCACTTTCATAAGCTATCTCCACTGTCGTTTCTGTGGACTTAGCAGTACATCCAGCTGAGGTAGATTGAGAGAATTGTATCTATTGAGTGCATAAAAATGTCTTAGATCTTTAAGTTAAAACCTGTGAAAAATGGGAGCAAAAACAAAAATGTCGCATTCAAATGTTTGTTGAGACATGGACCAGGTCTTAGTCACTGTGTTAACAGGACCCCATTTTATAAGTGAAAGGTAACTTTGGTACTTTTTAACCTGGACCCTTATTTTCTTTCTTTTTTTTTTTTTTCCTGTGTAAGTGCATGAAGGGAAAAACAACGCACCACAGCAGCGAAACAGCCTGGGAGCATTCAAGTCCACTAAAAGTGCTTGTTTTTTCCAGTGACAGGTTCAGATTGTTATTTTGTGTCTGACAACATTGTGTAAAGGAAACCCTCATAGATACACCTTTCGGTTAAAGAGTAAGATCCATTTGTTAAACAAAAAGTAACGGTCCCAAAACCACTATCACCAAGGCCACCAGACCCCATTTAAATAAACAGTAAGTATATCATCATAAAACACACTTCATTCACAGCTGACAGAAACAAAATAAAATTCAGAAAAGCAGTCTTGGTTCATCTTTCCACTCGTCCAACAATCACCATCTCTGATTTGGTTGAAATAAACCCTTTATTCACCCAGTTAGATGTAAAAATATGCTGGCTTTATACACACTAAAATTACTGTTTATTTAAATGGAGTCTGGTGGGTTTGATGACGGTGATTTCAGGGCTGTTTCTGGTTAAACAAAATGGATCCTACTTTTTAACAAAAGTCTATCTCTGTAGGAATCCTTTTTAGAAGTTGTCAGAGACTTGAAATAATAATTTGAGCCTGTCAGTGGCAAAACAAACACTTTCAGTGGACGTGCATTGACGGTGCAAACATGCCCTGATTGGTGACATTGCAACCTATTTCATGGCTGCCAGCGTCAGCAGTTTCCTCAATACTGGACCAATTTCAAAAATTGTGGTTTCTATTGGTCACTTAGAAGCAAAACCATGGGAACATAGGTTGAAAAATATCGGGGTTACCCTTTAAACCTGAAACAAAAGAATTTAAGTTGAGTTTGTTGTTAATATACAGACTGGTTCCAGATCTCTGAAACACTGCATACATCTTTTTGCTGCCTGCTTTCCTTCAGTCATTAAAGAACAGCTATTGTATTTAAACATGAGTAAAACCCTGTAAACATTTGGAATATGTTCAAAAGCTGAATTAGCTGAGCTGACTGTCGTCCCCTTATATTCTCAGGTTATGAGGGGGTCCCAGAGTTTTTCAACGACCTCCTGAACCACATCACCAGCGTGCTTCAGACCCACAACCCGGATTTCGCTCCTGCCAGCGAGCAGCCCAAAGGCCTGCCAGTGAGCACCACGGTACCCAACGCTGCCCCACCGGCCCCTGGCTGCTGCAGCATGCTGGGAAAGGAGGCCAGCGGAAGCCCCTGGATCGTAGAGGGCGACGGAGGGCTGAAGGGCCCCCGTCAGAGACTGGGCTGCAATTCGGCCATGTCCCCCAACTTCCAGCAGCACTGTGTCTCCACGATAGCTACCAAGGCTTCCTCCCAGTGACTGATCCCCCTCTCCGTTTGATCCCTGAACAAAAAAACAAAACAAAACGGATGACAATGGTGACAATAATAATGAATAATAATCATAATAATTATGATGTTAATGATGATAATATATCTAATCAAAAACATTTTCCTATATAGATATTGAAAATGATGGTGATTGAGTGTAAGCTTTTTTCTCTCTGCCTTTTTGTATTTTTCGTTTTGTCTAATGAGACTTAACAGTACTGTAATGTGAACTTTTGGGAACTTTTGCCTAATAGCTGATTTTTATTTTTCTCTCTTGTGTGAGTTCTCTGTAATGAAAGGGTCCAGACGAGGTAGCTAACGGGGAATGGCTGAATCAGGACTGGAGAAAGATGTGCCACTAGACGTGCAATGTATGATCCCTTGTATCTCACAAACACAAAACACGCACACACACACACTGGTACGTTTACATTGCAACGGGCCGTGCCGGTGATGTGTGTCTGTATTCTGGTCAATACCACTGACTCTGCAAAAGTGAGGGGGAGAAAAGGTGGCTGGGCATTTGAACACTACTCCACAGATCCTGGGCTGCTATGTGACTGTGGCCAACTGACGGCAGAGGACGTAAAGAGTCCGAACATGAACGACAAGATAGTTTTGGGGGTTTTGTTAGTTTGAACAAACAGGTAAGCCGTTTACTTTTCCGAGTGCCATCAAACTTAAGTGTAGGAAGGACGCCTGCAGAAAGATAAAGGTTAAAAAAAAAGAAAGCAGATCTCCATGACCATGTGACCAAGTTTCTTTTACTTTTGCACCAATGTTTCTAAGGTGTGTTTTACTGTATGTCAGATGGAAGGTGTTAGGTGTTCAACAAACAAGCTGCGTCCTTGTTAGAGTCCCAGTTTGAGTCGCTCCAGTGCAGGAAGACGAGGATCACATTCCTTTTCGTGTTTGTGGATGTTTTCAGAGAATTCCGTGATTTTTATTTTTTTTTCTCAGAATTCCAGTGGGATCTAGTGAGATTTCTCTCGTCACTTCATGGGTTTGTAATCTCCTTAAAAAAACGTGTCTTCAACGCTTGTGTCTGTCATGTGAGCAAACTACTCTCCTGAGGCCAACTTGACCTATCAACAGACTTGGGGCTGCTGTGTCAATCAGAGAATTGTTAATCGGAAAATCAGTTATTCCCCTAAATTTAAAGGTAAAATGTGTGTTTGAGTACCCATGAATTGGGTATGAATTATTTTTGATACCATGAAATGAAAACGGCTCCAGAAAATTGAGGAATTTGTTCAGCTTTATGATATTAGATTCAACTCTGACAGCACTTTCTTGACAAAATGTAGATAAAGAAACCAGTTGGTTCGATTGCTTAAATTCTCCGACTTGTCTTCTGTTCCAGCTGCTGTATTTGTGTCACATGTTAAAATCATTTGGAGGGGAAGTGGAGGGGCGGGGGGGAGATGGTCCAGCTCTTGTTCCCAGTGTTCACTGTGAGATTTTTTTACTCCAATTTTGTTAATATCTTTGTCCTGATATCTACTAAGAGCAACTTTATTTTATTGAGATTTTATGGGGAAAAAAATGTTTTATATAAATGAAGTGAAAGCACGGTGGATGTTTTTGAATAAACGGTGGATATTTACTCGAGGTGTAGTAAAAAACGCTGGGTGTGGTTGTACAGGTGGTGTCAAAGGGATGGATGAGCTTGTGCTTGATGCTGTTGTCTCCCTCTAGCATCTAGATTTTTTTTTTGCATTCCTCTGAGCCTGCTTCTCCTTCTCTTGTCCCAGAGAGCTCCTCCTAGCTGTTTTATTTCCTCCATCAGTATCCAAGGGAACTGACTGTCCTCTTGCTCGCAATGTGATCGTAAATAATAGTGTCAGCGCAGCCATCTCACCAGCATCTCTCTGGGACAAGAGAACACCAGTGATGCTCTGAAAGTTTGTCCTCACTAGACACATTATATTGTGGGAATATTTCCTCAATCTCCAACAAGCAACAGTGAATTAAGAATGTAAAGGTATGGCAGCAGGTTCAAAGGGAGCTTTCACATCCTTATAACCCGACGACTCATCTAGGAAAAAGGGGCAAAGTTTTAGGCGCGTCCCTGTTAAAGCTGGAAAGACTGATACTGTGTACACCACTATATTGTGTGTCCTATGTTGTGTTCCTTATCGTGCTTCTAAATGGGAAATAAATGGTTAATCCTACCCTTGGTCATTTCTGCAACCCAGACGGTGTCATCATGCTCCCAGTTTCCACCTGAATGTTTACTTCTTGGGTGTCTTGTACAGTACGTGTATATATGCCTAGGCTTACATCCGTACAGTATGTTGTTTTGTATCAGTTCTGTAATTGAGAGGAATCCACAATTTTGTGACCTTTTTTTAATTAAATGGCCAAAACAACAGGGCGAAATAAACGTGAAACCTTACCGGACTCTGTTTGATTCAGCTTTGGTTGTCTGATTGTTTGTGGGTGCATGCTGTCTCTTCAGTATCACATCTTACACCTGTCACATGAGACTTCAAGCCGAAAAATGTTTCTTAATTCTGCACAATCCATTCAGTTGATCCCTTCAGGTCATTATTAAATACTTTAATTTCTTCCATCAAAAAATCCTTCATGAGTGCAAAGAGAAGACTGCAAAACAGAGTGCAGCATTTCTCCACCCAGCCTCCAGGTGTTTATTGACTCAGCGTTTATGAATCGCACATTTCATAGAATTGGAGACACAGTAAAAAACCAAGACACACATATCATGACACAAACTTTTTTTCCAACAAGGCTAATTGACACAAAATGGTTGCTTATTAAAATAAAAATATATATTCTCATAATTTTAGTCTTCTGTACATGTAAAAAAAAAAAAGCCCACATATTTACAAGAACGCCAGACAAAAGAGGGTATTAAGGTTTCTAATGCTACTTTCTGCTCTCTGCCAGGCCTCTAGGGTGCTGGGTGTTTGTTTCTTTAAACCACCAAGTGTTCATGAGGTTGTAGATGGTGTGCTGTCGGGTTGGCCAGCAGTCCCAGGATGGTGGAGAGACAGTGAAGCTTCTCCTTGACGTGTTCAGGCAACTTTTCGTTTTCTTTATACCTGTGGAGGAGACGGACATTAGTGAGAGCTGCCACTGCCTTAAAGAATGCTTCACCTCCAAAATGACCATTTGCATATCAATAGCCCCATTTCCACTGAGCAGTACGGTATGGTATGGTACAGTTCAGTTCGGTACGCTTTTTTTCCGTTTCCATTGTGAAAAGTTGTGGATGGTACCAATGAAATCGTTTCGTACCGTCCCCAATTTTGGTACCCCTTCTTTTGGGGTACCTAGCACACAGGTCTGGTACTAAAATTTGTGATCTGTGAACATTGAATCATTGAGACATGCGAGAAAAACAACGTCTTAAGGAATTCAACACAACACGGGGTACAGTAATTACTGTATAAATGGTCATTTTGTGAGTGAAAAATTCCTTTAGTAACAAAGCTAATGAACACACAAGTCCTTAAGGTGACAGAAAGTGTGTTGTACCTGGTGATCCTCCCCTCTGGAGATGTGTAGGTGATGCAGGAAACTCCCGCCTGAACTACCAGCTGAGACCCGTCGTTAAACTGCACCCACACCTCTCCATTCGTCAGCTGCAGATACAAACATAGATTTAATCACAGACAATTCCTTTGCAGATTATAGAATATTAGGTTAATTTATTCTTCAGTTACCTGGGAGGCCCATCCAACATTGGGTACAAATATCGACTTCACCACTTTCCCTGTTTCCTGACGCAGCGGGGAGCTTTTCTTACTCAGACTGGCTGTGGTGAAGTCAGACCCATCGTAGGAGATCATCTGGACATAAAAATGGAAATTAATAAAAATCATAGTCTAGCAGTGAGAGCCTCTAAACATCTGTTCATACATCCTGAAGTATAGGGCTGTGAGACACTCACTGAAGGAGTGATCTGTGGAGGCTGAGGAGGTGAAGCTATTTCAGGAAGAACCGGCTGGGAGGGCAGGGATGATGAGCACAGCGTGTCTGGGTTGGCAGGTCTCCTAGGAGCGGTGACATACACAAAGCTAACATTAGCCACAAGTGGTGACATTAAACCAAGAATATATAAAAATGTGAGCATCTCACCTGCCGATAGTGACGGGGAAGAAAGGGACGTTCTTGGTGCTGCGCTGCTCCTCTGCTGTGATGGCGGCCTCCAGGGACAAACACATGCTGTGGCCTTCATCAGACTGCTCCACATATAGCCTGCTCTCTGGGCTCAGGCCGCTCAGCCCCACCTCGCCCTTCACCGTGTACGACTTCCCGCTTTTCTCAACCACTCGCACCAGCTCTGATGTCTTGTGGGTCTTTGCTCCTGCACAACACAAGTGTTTATGAAGGGTTACACATAAACTCAGTTAGTTGAAGCCCTATCAGACAAAAAAAAGGCCAGTGCAGCTTCTTCCTCACATGTTTCAATACACACATTAGACTCACCATCATAAAAGCAAACCTCCAGGTCTGCATTGGGAGAGTTCTCCATCAGCATCACCTTGGCGTACTTGGTATAGAGAGTCACTTTTGGAGTCTTGGATTTCACGAGCTGCACAAACTTGGAGGCATACTGGTACTTCTTCCAGTACTTTTCTGTGACAAAAACACAAATTAATCAAGTAAGTCCAATTTCTAATCTTAGACAAGCTGATGTCACTGGGTGTGATGCGTCCATCTGAATACCTGGAAGGTCCTCGTAGCTACAAATCAGAATATCTTCTGGAGGAGCAGGAGGACAGTCCAGGACAGGAAAACCCTTTCCACCATTAGGCTGGTATATCGTCACCTACAACAGATGATAATATTAAGCTTCATATTATTTCATGCCACCAGCCTAGTGACATATTATGTTGTTATACCACCCCCTACCAGTCACATATGGAACACTTAAGTGAACTCACCATCAAGCCATCACAGGAAATCCTAAGGACTTCTTTAACCCTCTCTTGACCATTCTGGCATTTTAACAACTCCATGCACACTTCACCTGTGTCCAGCACGCTCACCTGCAGGAAGCACAAGAAATAAAAAAATACAATTATTGTAACAGCTCACATAGTGAACAGTAACAGATCAATTAAAAAAGAGTGTATTATCTTACAACAGCATTTTTGGTCTTCTGTCTGATTGGCTTCAGTCTGGATGCACACAGGGGCGGGACTATGTCCCTCAGCGTTTTCTTCTCTTTATCCACACCGGGTTTGACTGAAGGAGGCTTTAATTCTCTGCCGTGAGGAGGCTGGAACTCTGCTCCAGGTATGTTTTCCCTGTACGAGTCACAGTTGGAGGGAAGGTTATGGTGCATGTGGTGCTGGTTGTGGTGGGGGTTCATATTTCGGCCCATGGGCATGTCTGTCCAGGAATTATGAACCCCCAAAGGTCCTCTGCTGCTGTGGAAGCTGCCACTGCTGCTGTGAGTGCTGCTGTCCGTGGGCTTCTGCCCAGAGGCTGAGAAAGAACAGACAACATTTGTAAAGATCTGGTTTTAACAGGATGGTTTTAACATTCGGTCTCACAAGTGCAGCTGGAGCCTATACTAGCCTCTGTATCTAAGGGTGAATCAACTAATAACAACAGATAATTTCATTCAAAGGCATGTCAGCCCCAAATCAAGCTACTGAACTAACTAAAAGTTGCCCTAAGTGAGAACATAAGCTGAGTGATAGCTGTTGAAATCTCTCATATGCACAGATAATCAAAAAACTAAACATCAGATTTACCCTCATTATTGAGCCAATTAGTGACTCCCTCCAGATCTTGAAATTGCAAGTTTGGTGGATGTGCAGTCTGCGTGGACAACATATACCCAGAACTGAAACAGAAAGTGCAATCTGTTAGTCTCAATAAATTTGTTAAAAATAAAAAATGAATAAACAAGTAACTGAAGATCATAAATAGAGACTTACTTTGCTGACTGTTTGACGGGGGGAGAGGGGAGCCTTCCGTGCTCTGTAAATGGGTGCTGAGTAGAGGACATGGGGAAGACTGGTCTACCTAAACCTGTCAATGTCTCCTCTGAGTGGCATCTCCCCAGCTCAGCGTGACTCGACCCCTGGCCTGATGCAGAAGAGCTGGAGCGATCTGAAGAGTGAGCCCTCCTCAGGTAGCGAGAATGAGGCTGCCCGCTGTCTCCACCATGAACCCCCCTGCTCCTGCCCTCTCTGTGAAATCTGTCTGCAGGATGCTGCTGCTGCCACTGGTCTCCGTCCTCAAAACAGGCGCTGTTGGGTTGGCGTGGAAGACTTGGAATAGGCGCCATCCTGTTAGGTAGAGCAGAGCCAATCATGTGCTTGGTTCTTCTCTGGAGGCGGCTGCTGCCGCTGGCTGAGATGGAGGAGGTGCAGGCTGTGGAGATGGTAGCAATGCCACTGTCAATGGATCCCTCATCCCCCAACCCCAGCTCCTTGGTCCTGACCAGCAGGCTTTGGGTCATAAACGGGTGGTCCAGCACTGCAGAGAGGCTGGGCCGCTGGGCAGGGTCCCTCTGCAGCAGCTGATGGATCAGGTCCTGAGCCTCTAGAGAAACATGGCTGGGCATCTCATAATCCCCAAGAACCACTTTAGACAGAGTGTGCTTGACTGTGTCCGTGTCGAATGGAGGACGGCCCATCAGGAAAGCATAGAACATGCACCCCAGTGACCACACATCTGATTCAAGACCATGAGCGCTGCGAGTGGCCACCTCTGGGGAGATGTAATTGGGTGTCCCACACATTGTGAAGTGCTTTTCATTTGGGAGTTTGAGCTGAGTGGCGAGGCCAAAGTCTGCTATCTTAATGTTCATGTTGCTTGTCAGCAAAAGATTTGACAAGGTTAGATCTCGATGCAAGATGCCGTGGGTATGTAAATACAGCATTCCTTTCACTATTTGATGCATAAAATGTCTTGCTGTGGAACAAAACAAAAAACAACATTTTTTAAAGGCAAGCAGCTCGCCAAACTAAACCTCAGTAAAATATTTACTGCAACATCATTCAAATTTTATTTTCAAAGTAAAATAGTTCTGCCTGACCTTCATCCTCAGAGAAAGGCATCTTCCGCTCTTTAAGGTACCGACTCATCTCTCCATTGTGGCACATCTCCAACACCAAGTACACATAGTTGCTGTCCTCAAAGTAATTGTAAAGCTTGGATAAAAACATGACATATAATACAGTATTTATTATCATGCCAAAGTGAGAGGACACAAAAATATGAGTGCAACAAAATCTAGAACACAACTGAACTTGATGAAACTATCAAACTCTTATCTAAAATGATCACACTGCTGTGGTCAAAAAAAAAAAAATGGCATCAAATTCAGTACCGACACAAAGCAAAAGATCCCGCTCTCCTAGTTAATCTTCAAAGACATACTGAAGAGTGACGCTAACACTGAACAAAGTAATTAC